GTGAGTTTTGTCAGCTGCTGTAGCTGGGTGGGGGGGGGGGCGGGGGCGCGGTCAATCAATGACTTTCCCTGTGTCTTACTAAGGTTAGTGGAAGAGAACTTGGAGGCTACTTCCTGCCTCCTTAACACCCCTACCCTCCCGACAAAGATGTGGATCTATTGTCGTTAAGCAGGTTCGAGTTCCTGCAGAATGCAAAGTGGGAGCCGCTTCTTCAGTCACCAGAAGGGCCAGTGCACAATTGTGGCGGTAAAAGGAACTATCGGAATGGTGCAGAATTGCTTTGAGTTTAACCTGGTTACATCTTCCAAACTGGCCCCAGTCGACCGGGAAAGGGCGCAGGAAGGCAGCGGTGGCTGCTGTTCTATATGTACTTAAAACTTTAGTTTAAAACGCCTAAGAAACCGCAGCTTTGGAAAGACCCTTTGGCCAGTTGTCGAGACAACCATGTACACAGGCCCTAACCCACGCCCTTCCGCATCGCTAGAGAATTTGTCCATAGGATCTTCACCGAAGGCCTATGAAGACGCAGCTTGTGCCTGTTCCCCACCAGTCGCAGAGAGGGCGGCTCTAAGAGGGACCGCTGAATTGCAGGTACGGCTCTTCCAAACTGCACATTTGCGTTGAGTCCTGGTTCCACTTGTTATTGTCAGCATCATTTCGATGAAATCCTTAACCCTCCTGACAAGCCTGGGACCAGGTGAGCCCCTCAAATTTAGAAGTGCCACAAACCTCAGCAAACAAGCAAATACTTTAATGTGATTTTAAAAACACGAAACGTTTGAAATTTTAATTTTAAATAGCACTCGCCAGTATTTGGATGGTTTTGGGCCGAAGAGGCTGCACTTCGTAGAAAAAGGAGAGGAAGAGTGAAGATGCAGGAGTGCAAAAGCCTGCAAGATCCAAAGGCGCGGTGGGACTTCGGCAGGGCAAGCAGAGGACCGACCCCCACGAGGACATGCGTGCCCGTGGCCGTGTAGGCTGCGCCCTCCTCAGCTGCTGGCCTCCTCAAACCCGCAGCTGAAGAAATAAATGTCGTCGCCGCAGTTCAGCCTCTGGTCCCTTATCTCTAGATCACGTGGGCCGTGGACGCCACATCAATCTCCTCCCAGTCTACGCTGAGCAGGAACGTGACTTCCCAGGTGAATAGCGCGCTCACCCAGCCTCCCAGCACAGGGTGACTCTGCTTGGCCTTACAAAGGGAACTGGAGGAAGTCGCCAACCAGGGTCCCCCGAAGGTCTGAATGTTTAGGGCCACATCCTACGGTTTGAACTAGGACCCACGCTCCTGCTTATTGCGAACCACGCGAGTTCGAGAATACCTAACGCTGACCGTGTGCTTGGGCACCAAGCCAGGCCCCGGCAGCACAGGCTGGGACCTCTCCTAGCAAGTTGCAGAGCGCTGCCTACCCGGCACTAGCAGAGCAAAGCTCCCGCATCACGGAGACCACGTCTCAAAGGCCTTTTAGGACTGTGGTCGTCTAGCTCCCCGCACTGTTCGAGGCGGCTTTCCTCCTCTGTAAACCAAATTTATTGATCTAAAGGCGCGGTCGCCTTTGACTGTCGTTTTTACAGATTCTACCGGGCAGAACTGGAAGGAAGATCAGGACAAGACTTCGGGACATTTTCGGAAGTAGTTGCCTGTTTGCTGAAAAACGAATGTCCCTATTGCCCTTGACTTTTGCCTCCCACCCCAGTTGCTTAGTACTTCTGCTTGGTACCTGGTCCAACGACCAGGCTCAGCTCTGGTCATCAGCGCCTGCTAACTGTTAGCTAGACCTGTGCGGCATCTGCCCCAGCATCTCCCAAAACATTCAGGCAGCGTTCGTTAAGTCAGGGACCTTAGCAGAATGCGGGTGGCCGATCACTCCCTGGACAGTTTTGCTTCTGAGTTCTGGGGAGTTACAAAACAGAATTTTCTAAAATGCATATCTTACATTAGGGGGCATTGGCCAGTCCTTCTAGATAATATCAAAATCTTAGACGTCTCTATCAGTTCTAAAGCTTAAATGTCTGTGGTAGTCCCAGCACCTTTATGTGGTCCCAATCTTCTGCGTAAATCCCAGAACTATCTGATGTCTCTGCGATTAAGCGTTGCAGCTCAAAATCAAATAATTAAAATGTTGCATTGTTTTGCTTTGCGGAGTAATAATCGATGTTGCTTATCGTTGGGTGCTTTACACACACTGCCGATTTTATTAACTCACAGAGCTATCTACCACATAGTACTGTTAGTCCCAGTGTAAGGCAAGCGATAAAACGGAGGCTTCGAACAGTTTGGGAAACCTTCAAAACGCCAGCACAAACACATGTTAAAACAAGACTTTCTTCAAGTCCAATGCCTTCTCCAGTATCTGAAAGCAGCCTGAACACACAGCCTGTCATCAGCCTGGGCAGGGTCGCGGGAAGTGTTAATGTGATTGCTTTGTTCTAGCTCCATGGGTGGTTTTATGTGTTAACCCTTGCTCCCGGAGGGTTTTAAAGGGACCTCAGAACTAGTTCCTCTGGGCTCCCAGGGTGGAAGGTTTGAATTACCCCGTGGCTGCAACTTCCCACTAGCACGGGCTCCCCATCTTATAGCAACGTATTGATTTGCAAAGGCAATGAATTCCGAGGAGGAGCAGTTTACCAGGACAATATCCCTGCAGCAATGTTTCACTGTGGTGATGGTCTCAACACCGAAAAGATGCATAGCTAAGGGACACCCAAGTGACTCGCCTGTGGCCCCTGGATTTGTTAAAGTGTTTATTTCAATTCCTCTAGTTTGCTCTCTCTTCCCACTTGCTCAACCTCTCCTGATTCCTGCCCACAAAAGTCCCAGAGCTGGGCTAAGGTGGAGTCTGTATAAGAATGGTAATAAAGCTCAATTGTTGAACAATTGTTGGACAGTTCAGCTTTCCCGTGCTCCGTCAGTTTCCTTGAAACATATCTGTCTCCCAGGGTGCCATTCCAACTATAAGCTAAGTCATTAAGGTAATAAAAGATAGTACCTCCCCTTATATAAGATAAAATAGGAAGTTTTATCAATTGAGATATAATGATACAGCAAGTTATTGAAAACTAGAAACATCTAACAAAACCTGCAGCAGTACTTGAAGCTTTATATAAAAGCCTATATTAACCTCTTCTCTCTCTCCCAAATAAAAACCTCACTTCTTGAAAAGAAAAATCCGTCTTCCTTGACAAACCCTAAAATTCAGACAAGAAGCAAGACAATGTGAACCTTACAATAAAAAGGAAATGTTACCTTGATTAGGATAATTTTTATGAGACCAGGAGAGATGGCTCAGCAACCTAAAGCATTTGCTGTTCTTCTAGAGGGGCTGTAAGAGTTCACCCCCAGCCCCTACACGGAGGGTGTAATTCCAGTTCCCGGGCATCTGATAACCCTCTTCTGGCTTCCAATTGCATGCGCACATGCGGTACTCAGGCACATACATCACAAACACATAAGTAAATAATAAAAATGTAAAATGTGTTGTATGCGGGGAGATGTATCATCTCCAAAGCCTGCTGCCATCTGACCTTAGTCCTGTTGTGAGCTCCTCCATAGCCAGAGCTGCAGAGCCTGGGTTGATCAGGACCTGGACTGGAGTGTGCCTCTTGGGTCTTCAGACCCTTTCTAGCTGGGAGGTGGCTTGGGAGGAAGAGATGCTGCTGCCAACTTGTCGTCTTTTAAAAGTGAGGCATAGCCCAGACAAGGAGTAAACAAACACCTAGTCTGAAAACTCCGTCCTCATACTGATTTCGAATTTCCCCAACATTGACCCTTTACATTTGGACTGAGATATTAGAATGACCAGGCCAGTCTAGAGGAGAACTTCCTCAGATGCCAACATGTTGTTTACACCGGATGCTCTAAATAGTTATTTTGGCATTTCGTTTTCTCCTATGACTTTGTTTCAGAAGCTATGAATAGAATGCAGTGGGAGGAGGTTGTGTGTGTGTGTGTGTGTCCCGTTCTTTCTTTCCCCCACTTTAAGACCTACCAAGAGGTTCCTAATCGCCAGACCAACTGGTTGGAAAGGAGAGCAAACATTTACAAGCATAGCCTGAGAGTGTGTGTGTCCTCTAGAGTTTACAGGACTGCGAGCGAAGTGGATTACCCTGCGAATTTGGAGAATTTGAGTTATTTAGACTGAGCAAGGCCAACAGAACTCCCTACACAAGGCCGTGGGAAGTCCTGGCCCTAGCCGGGTCTGCAAGGCAGATGGTTCCGTGTCCCCCGAAAGCCAGAACTCTGGAAAGGTCACACTTTCCCACCGAGCGTTGCATGGTCCCCGCAGGGCTGCCCTGCCCTGGTCTTTGCTTCGGGCCATTGCCTCACTTTCAGAGTCCCTCTTCAGAGTAAAAAAAAAAAAAAAATCAGCCTAGAAGCAACCAGTGCGCCGCAAAAGCCCAGGTTCGCCATAAAGTATTCTTCCTACACGATCCCTGCATCTCAGCATTTCTTTTCCAGGGATGTACCTCTCCAGCTCTCCGTGAAAGTAGATGTGACCTGGGGGACCTTCAAGTAGGGAACCTAGCTCTGGGGACTGTGCGGCGTTAATCAGGTTAAAGCCACTCAGCGATGCGAAATTTTCTCTACTCTTCTCAGCTATTTGGGAACTTTTGAACGCTAGTAGGCAAGAGTGGAAATAACTGAACTCGGAGGGGCTTCCTCTGGTGGCGTCGGATCCTGTGCCACGCGCGCATCACTGGATCTTCTGGGCAGCAGTCTAAGTGCAGCTCTAGACACCGCGGGCCGCCCTCCCGCGGGATCTGAGACACCGGGCCGAGGTGACAGAGGCAGCTGCGTCACCCTGTTGGTGGCACTATTTACTTTGAGGGGTGCCCAGTTCTCCTTCCAGAGCGCTGAGGCAGGAGGGCTACGCGCTCCAAGCACTCCTTGCAGGCGTCGCTTGGCCCCGCCCCACGCCACACAGCCAGGAAGCGGTGACGTGAGACCACTCTGACTGGCTGCTGCAGGCAGGGACCGCCGCCACCAGCAAATTAAGGCGCGGGGCCGCAGGAGCCCAGGCGCAGTGTAGGTCGCGCCTTGCTCTGCAAAGCTGCGGTCGGGCTCCCTGGTTTCCGCACCCTCGAGAGTCCCACAGCGGGTCGTCACCTCCCGGTGGCCCGGGCTACTCCTCAGTCAGCAGGGAGGGAGGGGGAACTCGGCTTGGGTGCATCCCGTATTTTGCTCAACTGACGTCTGGCGTGCCCGCGGCTTGCACACAGTTTGAGTTCGCAGCTGGTCCCCACCCTGCTTTCCCGCTGGTTCGAAGTCTCTGCGGCTCCCGATCTTTGCTCTAGTGGATTGGAGAGGTCAGCGTGGAGCTCTGGGGACGTGGGACCGGACTCTTCGAGAGTCCCCAGTTTAGCTCTCACTGCACTCAGGAACTTTGAGCTGCGTTTCGGGTTTTTGTGCCCCTTGGGAGAAGCTGGACTGCGGTTTGGCAGGCCCGGTCCCTAACCAGGATAGCACGCTGGGGACCATGGAGTTCACGGCGTCACCAAAGCCCCAGCTCTCCTCTCGAGCCAATGCCTTCTCCATCGCCGCGCTTATGTCCAGCGGTGGCCCCAAGGAGAAGGAGGCAGCAGAAAACACCATCAAACCCCTGGGTAAGTCGGGGTGCTAGGCTCTCCACAGGGGCCGTCTTTCTTTATGTCCCCTGGCTACAGGCGGTTTGCTTCGTGGGCAGCAAGGGTGGCCTTTTCTCCTGACCAGATCTGCTTCTACGACTCATATCGAACAGATATAGGTCTGAGGAGGGAGATTTCATTTTCTTCTCTGCGCAAGTTTTCTTTGGGGGTTTCACGGTCATCTAAAGGTCGTGGGAATCCAGCTTGTGTTTGTAGTTGCTCTGCGGAGTTTCCTGGAATCCTGAGGTCAAGCAGATAGTGTATGCATGTGCAAATTCGAATAAAAACAAATTCAAGGACAAATAAGAATTTTTTTAAAAGACCAGGATCCACACTGCGTGTAACCATCTGAGTACGTACTTGGAATCAAAGATACTGAACGACTTCACAAGAAACCAGTTTAATTTTCCATCGCAGCAAACATCCTTCTCCTCTCTGGCAAGAACTATAAAATTAGCCAGTCTTCCAAGCAGGAGCCGCTTTCTCCAAGGAAGCGCTAGACTTATCTGCAACCTTCATTTACATTTGCCATTTTCAGTCCAGATTAGCAAAAATCTCCCCAAATTTCTCTACGTTTAGTTACACTGTTTTTGCAAAAGCTGTTTTCTTTATAGAAGGCATTAGAATCAAATTAAAGAGAGGAGAGATGAGCAAGAGAGGAGAGCAACCTTGATTTGTATGAAATAGGAAAACAAATACCGGACAACCCCCTTCCAACCCACAGAGAAAGAGGTGTTGTCATTCATTCTAGGGTCTTCGGAAAAATTTATCACACACCCGAGTCACCACCATTCTTAAAATACTGACAAAAATCAAATAGCTAACTTAGGGCAATTTTTTAAAAATTCACTAATTTTCCTCCGAGATCACAGCAGAGAAGAAACCTTAAGATGCTGGGAAAAATAAGGAGCTTATTTATACCTGAGCAGAGAGAACCAAAGCCCTAAACAACTTGAAACCAAGAAAACGCCAGTGTTACTACACAGCTCTTAGCTCTGAGCCCCCACCCAACTTGCATCTAAGTCAAAATCTTTGAAAGCGAGTGAGCTAGTCACCAAATCCTCCTTTTTTTTTTTAAGATATAGAATTGGCTGCTAATTTCACAGTTGTTCTGCTGAGAGTCATAGCACAATCATTGTTCTTCTGGGTTAGGGGAATTCTTTTGGAATACCCCCATCTCATTTAATGCCCAATAGAAAATGAGGTTCTCAGATTTGTGAGCCCTGGGCTGGGAAGCTTGCCAACTCTACTCTCGTGTCTACATTCGTATATTCTCTTTAGTTTTTCTTAAAAATAAAGCCCTTCAATCAAAATTATGAATTCTAAGTGCTTGGCCAATCCTGGCTTTCCACAACCTCCCCCAGTTAGCTACCGGCTCCAGTCTCTGAAAGGCGTTTGTTCACCTGTGTGGAGAACAGTTCAGTTCTCGCCTATTACTTTTCTCATCCCTTACACTCATCAGTCCAACAGAGCATAATCAATGACCAAATTGAAGACTTGGCAACAGAAACACCCAAGGGTTCCTTTAAGAGACAGTGGGGTGTTTTCATTGAAAGACAGAATAACATCACAAGGGGTGGGTTTCTCTGGTGCCCCATGCTCCACCACTCGAGAGTATCATTTGTACTGGAGCAGTCCTGTTTCCTTGTCTTCCTTCTCGAGCCAGGTGATGCTGAGAGAGCTCACCTGTCAGCTGTTGGAACTATGAGAAGCTCAGTTTGCTTTTTGATCCCCTATAAATATGTGGTGTGAATTTCCATCCAAAAGCATTTCTAGAAAATAAGGTGTTGGTACTGTCTGGTTTCCTTTGACCTGGAAACAGCCTGTATGACAATTGATTTGAATGTCCTTCATTGAAAACATCTCCATGAGCTGGATTATTGCTTTATGACAAGAAAGGGCAAAATCCTATTTTGTATTATCCTCACATTAAGAAGTATGAGGAATAAGAAATCATTTCAGAACAAACTCGAGCACACAACACACCCATATACAGACGCATGCCCACAACTGGAGCTGATAGACTTTTCTTGAGAGCAGTTAGAACAGACTGGTCTGGTTGGAAGGATCAGCTCTACACTGCAGATTTAGATAGTTTTTCTTTTTTTTTTCTTTTTAAGAATTGAAAGATAATTGGCCAGATTTTAAAGACCTCCCTGTATTCCACAAAGTTACTGTGGAGGTTCAGTCTTTTAGCAGCTGCGCAGGAGTGTGGTCCAGAGGAGTGATATTTCAACCCACTCATATGTGGTGAAACCTTCTCTTCAATTTCCTGCTAGACTAGGGTTGAAGTTGTTTTCCTCACTTCCAGGGCTATTTGGAGGAAAAACAGTTGCTTACATTATCTCTCCAGTAATCTGTTTCTGTCTTCAATCAATCAATCAAACAAACAAACAAAGTCTGTTAGAGTCCTCCCCTTTGATTTAACAAGCTGGATACTGGTTTCTAAGGCAGCTTCTGTAGCGGCAAAGCCTAGAATTTGGGATGACTGTGGTAATAGTTAACATTTTATCCCTCATGATCACAACTTTTCCAATTCCTCACTCATATTTTATTCCTAAGGTAGCTTCAGGCAGCTCGGTGATAGGCCCTGGTTCTAGATAGACCCTCCTCATTTGATTCGGTTAGCGTCCAGCCCCAGGCATGCACACCCCAGGTATTTTATGTCCTGCGGTGGATCATGCTTTTTTGCTGCAGTTGCGGAGTTTAGCGGCGACCAATTGCCTTTTTTAGGTACTCTTCCCAGCTCCTTCGTGAAGTGTCTGTTGTTAACTAAGTGACAGCAAGTCAATCTTACTTCTCATTGCCTCCAGAACAATTTGTGGAGAAGTCGTCCTGCGCCCAACCCCTGGGTGAGCTCACCAGCTTGGAGGCTCATGCGGAGTTCGGCAGCGGGGGCGGCAGCCCTTCCTCCTCCTCTCTGTGCACCGAGCCACTGATCCCCACCACCCCCATCATCCCCAGCGAGGAGATGGCTAAAATCGCCTGTAGCCTGGAAACGAAGGAGCTCTGGGACAAATTCCACGAACTGGGCACAGAGATGATCATCACCAAGTCGGGAAGGTAGTTTGCGTGGGCGGGAGCATACAGAGCAAAGGGTTTGTCACACTGCGCTCTCGCTCTCGGGGGTCTGGACTAGGAGCTGCCGGGCTTGGGTACGAGCGGTCACCAAGCTCAGAGGCCTCCGCTTTTCACCAGCTCCCTTAGAAAGATTCTCGGTACTAGAAGTAGGTCCTGCAATCGCAAGGTGTGGCTTCAAGACTCCACACCCAGAGATGGACATCTTTCCCCACAGCGTGGTCTTTGCTCCCACTCAGGCATCTTGGGTTCGGATAAAGACCCGGTTAGCGGGAGCTCGGCTGGGGACGGCAGGAGGGGGAAGGAGCGGCCCCCCCCCCCCCGGTATACAATAAATGACTAACCTAAGTCGAAGATTTGGCAACAGAAACATCTAACGGTTCTGTTTAGAGACAGTGGTATGTCTCTTAATAGAGTCTCCCGCTTTCAATAAAAACTCAGTTGAAAACTCGGGCGGAAGACTAGATAGAGTAGGGAGTAGGGAGTAGGGAGAAGGCCCTGCGCAGTGGCCCCGAGCGCAGGAGGCGGGCTGCTCCTCTAAGCCAGACCCTGGGCAATTCCGTAGGATCTCTAGGAAGTGAACTCCATGAATCCCCTCTCAGGAATGCCCGGGATTTTTGGTGGGTTATGCAACAGAGTCATCTCTGGTTATTTGGAAGAAAATAAAACAAGCTCAAAATTTCTATCTACCGGTAGGGGACCCTGTAAAAGAGACAGAATCTTTTTTTTTTCTTTTTTCTGTGCAAGTCCTGTCTCTGTAGGCACATCTCTGAGGGTTCATCAACAGGACAAACAAACAAAACCAACAACAACCAAATGGGAAATCGGGCACTGCATAGTGGATGGTTCCAATTTTCTTCCTTTTTCCCTAATTCGGGTCAACTCTTTACAATGAGTGAATCCAGTCTCTCTCTGCCAGGAGGATGTTCCCCACCATCCGCGTGTCATTTTCTGGTGTGGACCCTGAGGCCAAGTACATCGTCCTGATGGACATCGTCCCGGTGGACAACAAGAGGTATCGTTATGCCTACCATCGGTCCTCGTGGCTCGTGGCCGGCAAGGCTGACCCTCCTCTGCCTGCCAGGTTCGTGACTTTGGACTTCTCGCAGATCAAAGTGATATTAATCCTTCTGATTTATGTGAAATTTAGGGAAGTTGTTTTTAACCACCGGGCTCTGACTTGAGAGATTTCCAAGCCAGAACAGCACAGGATTGAATTCAAAACTTGTTGGTTGGTCTTCAAGAAAAGTGAAGTTTGTGCATAGAGAAAACATTACCTTTAACTTAATCTCTCAAAAATTAATTCCAGATATTCGTGAAATTTGAGTTTGAATTATTTTTTAGAAATGTGACTTTTTTGAGATAAAAGTATAATATTGCTGCTAGGGTGCTGAGTAAGAATATATAAATGCCTTGCTATTTGTCCTTGAATCTCCATGTGCATACTATATTTATAACATTTTTAGCCATTTCTTAGCAGCGTGATTAGATCTGCACACACTTAGTGTCCATTTGGGTAAAACTGGTTGTTTTTGAGCCATGCAAGAGCCACAAGTTTTAGATAAGGACAGCAATCCCTTCCCCCCTCCACAATTTTGATGGATAACCATAATTCAATAAGTTATTATTCTTTTACATTAAACTCAGCTAATATATAGGAGACAGTGCAGCTTGTTTTCTTGGTTGCCTTTGCTGATAATGTTGTTAAAAATTCCTATGAACCTTTCTCATGAGCATTTTCCTCAGAGGCATGCTCAGGAAGAGCAGCGGAATAGCCAGAGTTATGTCGCTGTAGCAACTCTGTTACTATACAGGACATTGCATGCGCTGATGCCACTGTTCTGAATAAGAAATTGCATGTTTCCTGACTGATCTTTGGTATTTTATTGAAAGTTAGATCACAGTCAAACATATATTTCAACGTACAGATTTAAAATCCTTGATGGTGTGGCTGGTAAGCATAGAGTCCATAGCCACAGACACCACGGACTCAGCGGGGGTGCTGGACTCAGTCCTGAAGGAGCCTCTGCTTCACTACTGCGCTGGCAGCCTGTTCGAAGCACCAGAAAACAGATAACAACACTTTTTGGCTTTCCATTCTTAAAACAGGCGAGGAAAACTTCCTTCCAAGGCTTCCAAGTCAGCATATTGAACAATTAGGACTAAGAAATACTTGCAAATGGCATGTTGTTCTTCTAAATTAAAAAGCAATACTTCATAACAGATATTAAAATCAATAGAATTGGTGTTTTCTATTATTTACTTATGAAAAGTCAATTCAGTTAAAAACTTTTTTTTTTTTTTGAGACAGAGTCTTCTTATGTAGTTCAGGCTGTCCTAAAACTCACAGTCCTCCTGCTGCAGCATCCAACTGATTGCATTATGACTGGGCTCACAAATGCTCAGTTTTTAATTTGGTTTTAACACGGATCTCAAGGAGGAGGGAGAATGGGGGTGGCAGATATGAATTTTAGCAGATTTCTAACCATTTTTTTCTGAGCACACATTCATTTTTGCTTTCTCTAGCCTTTCTTTTCATTAGTCTTTTATTCTTATTTATCCCTCATTTTCTTCCTCTCTGAAGGTATGGCCAAATGCTGCAGGCCAGCGGTACTTCATAAATATGACATGCTTGTTTATGCTTCTAATCTGTTCTGGTTAGAGAAAGAAAAGTGCCTACCAGTGTGCTATCTTAACTGAAGCTTGTGTAAGCTATTGCTGGAATTTTAGGTCGGGAGGAGGGGGGTGAGGGAAGGGGAGGTTCCTGTAAGTTGTTCCACGTATCCCGGTTTGGCTTATTTAAACCAATATTAGATAAAACCACGAAATGGAGACATTTCAGATAATTCATGGAAATTCCTGGTTATTATTATTATTATTATGGAAGATCGTTTTCCAGATTTCCCACCTCCATAGAGGAAGAAACTTTGGAAATTGGAATGCTTGAGCTGATGGTAAAAAGTCAGTTTCTAAGAAACTTCTAAATCTAAGATGCCTTTCTCCCTCCTCAGACTGAAGCCAGCGATTTCTAATCAAGAAGCATAATACTTGATAATATTATCTGGTAGTTGTAACAGGCACAGTATTTTATTCATGACCAAAAGTAATGCTGCATTTCCATACCGCTACTGTAACTTATACTTAAATAAGTTCATATCTTTGCTAATGTGATTACGTATAGTAAATATGATAAAGGAGGAACATGTCATCAATTTCTAGATCGTTAGTATATTGGAATTCTAGGGTAGAAGGGTAAATAAATTAACAGTATTTTAAAAATTATACCTTTGGAGAGATAAACCTTGACATGCTGTTGTATTCAAGCTATCAAAGTCTACTCTTATTTATGAGGCAATTATGACACCTTGGGGGAAGACAATGCAAGAAGCAGAGTCCACTGTGGGTGGGGTGGGACCCCTGGTCCCCTCAGCCTCACTGTGCTTCATTTCCGACTGTTTTGTTTATTTCACCAAGGGGACAAATTCTTTCCATTCTTAGTCTTTCTGTATGGCAGACCGTGACACAGACTTCTCATTCTCTACCCAAATATTGCCAGTAATGTTTGTTCTGTGACCTTTTCCCAGCACAACTATTCACAAATTCCAGTTCTAAGGATGGTATGCAAAACTTATATATAAATCAGCTGACACATGGGTAAAGGAATTTGTCAGGGCTGCTGATACAGCTCCTGATGCCACATGAGCTTAGCATGCATCAAGCCCAAGGGTCGATTCCCAACACACAAGCAACAACAAAAGAACAAAAGAAGGAGAAAGACAAAGAAAACAAAAGAAGAAGAAAGGGGAAAATGTAATTTGTCTTAGGAAAAAGAGGATTTCGCCTTCCTTCTCAGTCTTCTGCCATCTCGCTTCAATCTTGAAAGATTTTGTGAGGCAGAGAGCAGCATTCAGATGTACACAGTGCTGTAGCTGGTGTGGCAGCAGGGACGAAGGGGTGGCGAGCCTTTCTTCTACAGTGAGTGTTGATTCCTTCCACACAGCAGCTAATCAATAGACGATAGATTTTCCTTGCCAAAGCTTTTTATTGCTTAAGTTTTTTTAAAATAAATGAATCAATTTAATAGCCAGAGGTTCATTTAGATTGTTAAAACTCTCCTTTAGCAGTCCATAACCAGATAGCAATGAAGCTGTGTGGTGGAGTTTAGAGTAGTCAGCACAGTAAGCTCTCAACTCTGATCTGTACACTAGAAAACATTTGCTATGTCCTATATTAAAATTTCGAAGTCTTGTATTAGTAAATTAGTAAATGAAAAGTCACTTTTAAATTTAAATGAGTTGATTCTTTAAAATTATTTCCTCACTTAACTTGTTTCTTTTCATTGCTCTATAGTATATAGAAACGTACACATTGCTGTAACAGATTCTTTTAAATCCTCTAACAGTAAGATCACGTACTTGATAAATGTAGACCAATAGACTGGAAAAAAAAAAACAAAAACAGACAGTAACAATTCATCCCTAAAAAAATTGTTTGCTCAGCAGATAATAGAAAATGTATTCATTACTTCTAAGGTCTCTGAGACATGAAGAAGTTTGTTAGATGCTTTGGAGTTATCTCAGCATTGCTATTTTAATAAATTCAAGATACATGGGACTCATGAAATGTGCCGCTTACATTACGTTTCTGTGTTCCTTTAGAATCAAAACATTTAGAATAAGGACCGAATTTTGTTGTATTTTGATCCAGGATCCCACTATGCAGTCCAGGCTGGTTTCAAACTCTTAATCCTCCCTCAGCCTTCTGAGTGCTGAGATAACAGACACATGTGCCAATACGCGTAGTTCAAGACGGAGTCTTAAAGCACACCTCAGTAAAACTCTCCAATCCTCTTCTTAGACTCTATGTGCATCCAGACTCCCCCTTTACTGGTGAGCAGCTCCTCAAGCAGATGGTGTCTTTTGAAAAGGTGAAACTCACCAACAACGAACTCGATCAACATGGCCATGTAAGTACAGAGTCTGCATCTGCGGGTTCCCCTAGATGTAACAGACATGTTATATAAAACATCCTTCCTCCCTTCTCTCTACCTTTCCCTCTCCCCATTTTCCAAACTTCCTGCTATTCATCAAGAGTCAATGTAGGAGAACACTCATGTTCTCCAGGGGACCTTGACTGCTTTTGTTAAAGCCATTCATGCAGATGCCCTGTTGGACTGTTTGCACAAAGAGGTCCGGGACCTTCTGTGCCAAGGATCTCCTAAGATGTTTGCAAACACTACCACATTTTCTAACAAGACAAAGGAAATGTGAGTTTAGGGAGGCCATCAAACCTATTTTTGGGTTAAGCATCTTACTAATGTTAGTATACTGATATCACATTAAAAAAAAGCAGGGCTAAGACTCCCTGTGGGAGCCTCCTAAGTGCATTCATCCAGCAGAGCGCAGCATGCTGTACCTGCAGCAGAGTGGAGAGGACCTCATTTCCAAAGAATCCTGCAAAGTTTTGACTCACGTCTGTAGCTGTACAGACTCATGAATGCCTGTAAAGCATTTATTAAGGGCAAACCTAAACCTAGGGCAAACTCTGACCCAGTTAATCTTCCCTTTGCCATTCACATGTCTTCTCAGAAAACAGCAGGGCGATCTGAAAGCCAGGAGGAAAAGGCCTGCCCGCAGGTGGGTCTCTCAGAGAAGTGCTTGAGAGGGCATTCAGCGCACTGTGACTGCTAAGGTTCTAGATGAGGAGGCCTGGCACCCTCAGTGACACTGCTCTGCACCAAATACATTAAATGTAGGCTAAAGTTGTCCTCTTTTCTCCCTAAAAGGAACCCAGAGTCTGTGTGTCCTGCAGGCTCTCTGTTACTCTTTCCTCCCAGGACTCCAAGTTTTAGTTCTGGCTGCACTGACTACGGCAGTTGTCTGCTCTTTGGGAGAGGTGCACAAGTGTGAAGACAGACAATATTTACAATTATAAGCAGAGCAGAGGACATGCTGCTCACCTGTCATTTCTCCAGGGGAGGTGGAGGCAGGAGGAGGCACCCTGGTCCGAATAATACATCCCCACCGAGTCCTTGTCTCAAAAAGCAAACCAAACCAAACCAAAGCACATTTTATTTGGTGTATACTTCATTGTATGATGGGAAAAAGTGTTATTGATTGTTGGACAAAGAGAAAATATAGCTCGGAGCTTCTATCAGTATTTGATAGAGCAAATAACCATTGATAAAAGGGCCCTTGCCATTTGCTACGTTCCTTGTCAGGCATTGTCTTTAATGTGATTGAATGTTCCCGTTCCTATGTGTGCCTGTGTAGACGTGTGTATGTGTGTGCACATGTGTACACATGTCCGTGTCCTTGTGTTCACATTTGTATGTAGGTGTGTGTGCCCATAACATGCATGCCAAGGACAGAGGTGGGCAAGCATATGGTGTCTTCCTTTACCTCTGTTCACCTTATTATGTTAAGGCAGAATCTCTCCCCCAATCAAAGCATGATGTCTCAGTCAGGCTAGTGGGCAAGTGAGCTCCTTGGATCCTCCTCTCCCTGTCCCCTAGTGCTGGATTTGTAGGTATACACAGCTGTGCCAAGCTTTTACATGGATGTTGGGGATTTGAACTTAGGACCTTCTGCTTTTAGGAAAAGCACTCTTACTTGCTAGGCCACTTCACAAACCCCTATGATTAAATGCTCTTGAGCAGAAATAGATGTAAAATTCTCTTAGATTTTATGTGAGGAACTCAAGGCAGACATGCATGCTTCTTTTGAAGACACTATTTCTGTGTCTTTGTTTTCACTGTTGGAAAGCACATGATTTCTTTCCGTTTCTTTCCTTGGATAATTATTATAGTTATACAGTAATATATAATCTCTCTTATCTTTTTACTAAATAAGGGTCTTGTGACTTTAAGGCTTAGTTTCTCTTGGATCTGTGAAATATGGAGGAAAATAAGTGAGAGAGTTCCAGAGACGGTTTCAGATAGTTCAACTGAATCTAGAACTAAACAAATGACTTGAGTTGGTGTCCCTATCCTTGTGCCCCAGGAAATCTTTGCTTACTATAATCACATCAGGGTGACCATGTATCTTGTGGGTAGCATTGGAGAGACATTGGAAATGGGTTAAGGAGCTTCTGTAGTTTCACCTTTTAGAAAGATAATAGCCTTTTCAGTGTTGGCCTAATTTACCCTTCAAGAAAAATAGACGATGCTTCCACTCAGTGGGTTTTTGTCAGGTTAAGATTTATGAACTATCTGAGGTATCCTTTGTAGGTCAGTCATCCGTCTTATTTAATGTGACTCAAATTAAAATATTTTAGGTTCCAACTGGAATCTTCGCAGAGAGAAAGTACAATTAAAAAGAAGATTTTGTTGCATTTTCTACATATGAAAGTTCTAGAATTCTTCAGGATTCTTCAGGAAAACTTTAGATTTCAATGGTAGATTATTTACCCAAAATTTAAATGATTTATTTTAGCATCAGTTTCAAGGGTATCTGGGTTTTAGGAGTTCTGATATCTAGCCCAATTGTGTGGCAGTTAGATCTTGTTAATTGCTCAGTTGTCGGGGGCTGCTTATGTTTACTCTAGCCTCAAAACTTGTCTGATTTAATCCCCTTTGTCATCAGAATTAGTAACCTCAGAAATTGAGTAAGAAGGTTCCTTAGGTAACATATTATTTAGCAAGCTTTGTGGGTTCAGATTGATGAACTTCCTTTCTCTCTTTAATTTTTTTTTTTTAATTTATGTGCACTGATGTTTTATCTGTGGGAGGGTGTCGGATCCCCTGGAACTGGATTTATAGACAGTTGTTAGCTACTGTGTGGATACTTGGAACTGAACCCAGGCCCTCTGGAAGAGCAATCAGTACTCCTTATCCAGACCCAAAGGACCCCCTCCCCTCCCTATCCCTCCCTTCTCCCTCCCCTTTTCCCCCCTTCTCTCTCACACACAAATACTCTTGAGTCTCTGACAGGAATATCACTGTATCCAGGAAGGTATGTTCTCAGGGAAGCCGAGTGTGCATTTCTGTTCGTTCTTAGCTCTGTGAGGGCTGGAGGAGCGTCAGCAGGCCTTGGAGTTTGGGGTTGTTCAGCACCCCTTACTAAATAAAGCCGGCCTGGAGCTTAGGAGTATGAGGAGTGTTATTTAAATTGAAGGATTTTTTTTTTTGTTAGTTTTTGTTTTTGTTTGTTTTTTTTTTTATCTCATTTCGGTATGTGTACATGAGGGTGAGTGTGAATGTTATTTGAATGCTCTTATCTTCTCAGTTGAACATATAAGGAATTCTGAAAGGCATTTTATTTGAGGGGACAAATATTTGCCTATTTATTACTTAAAGCTGAATCCAGGTCTATGATCAAGTCTCATTGTTTTGGACACCTTGGAGGAAGTACATTATACAGAGAAATGAGGTTCTTTTTCAAAACTTATTTTAATACATTTGAAGATCTCTTTATACTTAGTTGTTCTTACTTCGGTTTGAGACCAGAAAGAGTAGCAGGTACAAAATTCAATCCTCTTTAGTAACTCGAGGTTGATTTACAATCAGAGAGATCGGCAGAGACACTGACTACATGGTTAGTTTTTCTCTTGTTTCCGTGGACATTGCTTCTAAGGTGTTCCAAAAATAGTGTAGCCATGGCCCAAGTCACTTAATAAAACGGGACACTATTGACATATAATTTCCTCTATTTTGTGAGTGCTATGTAGGTTACTGGTAATATCTAATGCAAGTATTATGTGACTAGTTAGTAGGTTGAATTTTGAGGGAATAAGCCAAGGAAAAAAGTACGTATCTTCAGCATAGGCACAATATTTTTGATCTACAGTTGCTATTGTATTTTATTTACTTTTCTTTCTTTTTTGTTTCTTGTTTGTTTTGTTTGTTTGTTTCTTTGGGACAGAGTTTCCTCTACCTAGTCCTGGAACACATTCTGTAGATCAGGGTCCTCTTGAATTTGGACTCACAGAGATCCACCTATCTCTGCCTTTGCCTCCTAGGAGCTGGGATTAAAGGCATGCACCACCATGCCTGGCCCTGTTTAAGGTTGTTTAAATCTGCAGGGGCTTCACCCAAAGATGCAGATGTCCGCCACGTATCAGTTATCCACAGGATCTGGTGGAGAGTTTGTAAACACACTCAGCGGCAACTCTCCTTCCTTCACCACATCCATCCACGTTAGTCCAGAAACCAAGGGGCCCTTCAGTCACCATGTCAACATAGCAAACACCTATGGGCCCCAAAGTACCATTTATGGGGTGCTTACTGAGGCCAGGGGATTTATTCGCAAGATGTTTAAGGAAAGGACACAGCCAAACCTCCAATTCCAGAAAAGTTAGATAGGTTTTGTACATTTAAGTAGCTGCCTGTCAGTGGAGACATGTGGGAAACATTTTACACCTAAAAGTGAGTTTTGTTTTGTCAAATGTGGTAGCTCGGGCTTGTGATCCTACCATTCAAGAGGCAGAGGCAGGAAAGTTGCCAAGGTTTCGGGACCGGCCTGGGGTACAAAGGAGTGAAACCCTGCCTGACAGGGATAGAGTGAAATCCTGCCTGGAAACAAACCTGTCAGCGAGCAAACAAGTACTAACCAGTTTTGTGGCTCATTCTGTACAGTGGCAAAATATTTATATGCTTGTTATAGGATAAATGAAAATGCTATTTCTCAGCTGCCCTTTTAACTAAGATATGTTTACCATTGCCATGAACTTGCAACTTTGGTAGCTGCAGCTTGGAAGATTGCCATGACATTGATTAAAATTTAGTTTTACAACTGGAAATTGGAATAAAAGAAATTGTCATTTTTCTTTTTCAAAAAACAGTTCCTGTTTTTGAACACTTCCTGTTTTTTGTGTGTTTTACAGGGTTGCAGTCTTTTGTTTTTTTTAAAAAATATTTATTTATTATGTATACAATATTCTTTCTGTGTGTATGCCTGCAGGCCAGAAGAGGGCACCAGACCTCATTACAGATGGTTGTGAGCCACCATGTGGTTGCTGGGAATTGAACTCAGGACCTTTGGAAGAGGAGACAATGCTCTTAACCTCTGAGCCATCTCTCCAGCCCCCCCCCCAGGGTTACAGTCTTTAGGGATGGTTGAGATGGTTCAGTGGTTAAGGAGCACTTGCTTCTCTATCTTAAGAATCTGAGTTCAGTCCCCAGCACCTGTCAGGCAGTTCTCAAATACCTGTAGCTCCAGCCAAAATGAATCTAGTGCCCTCTTCTGGCCTCCATGGGTACCTGTACAAATTCATGCATATACAAATAATAAAAAAATTAAAAGTTACATTCCTCTATCCTCACTATAACCCTGTGAAGTTAGTATCATATTTGCATTTGAGGCTGCCTAGGTTGGAAAGATTCTCTCACTTGGCCTACAAAAGAGCCATGAAGTGAAAGTTTTGGAATTTTAACCAATGTCTCTTTAATGTAACACTGTATTTCTAAATCATTTTACTTTTTTCCTCTGTAAATAACAATCTGACCTACAAAATATTGTTTTTTATTTAGAAAATGGAAACATGCATATTATGGTCTGAATAGATCAAGACCCAAATTGTTTTTAAAGACTTATTATTATTTAATTCATTTATGCTATGTGTTTGAGTATCTTGCCTGCATGTATATGCACCATGTGCATACTGCAAGAGGAACAAGAGCCCTTAGCCACCGAGGCATATCTAAAGATCTTCAAGTGCATTTATTTATTTATCTATTTGTGTGTGTGTGTGTGTGTGTGTGTGTGTGTGTGTGTGCATTCATGCCACAGAGCATGTATGAAGCTCAGAAGAAAATTTACAGTAGTCTGTTCTCTCCTTCCTTCATGTAGCTCCCAGGAATCACATCCAATTCATCAGACTTGGAGGCAAGCGTCTTTGTCTACTGAGACATCTCACTGGCCCAAGGGTTGATTTTGAAAAATTAATAAGACTTGGTCTGAGGAGATGATTCAGTTGGGAACATGCCTGCCACATAAGCATGAAGGCCTCCATTTGGATCCTCTGCACCAACACAAAAGACGGGTTTCAGCAATGGGTGCTGTAGGTTGGAGCCAATTGGATCCTGGAGCTTACTGGTCAGTCTTTTAGTCATTGAGCTCCAGGTTCAGTGAGAGTCGCTGTCCAGAGGAAGAGACAGAGGAAAATACCCGTGTTCAGCTTGGCCTCCACATGCATAAACACATGTGTTCACAGAAACGGGAACACCTGGAGAAACACACACACACACACACACACACACACACACACACACACACACACAAAATCTAATGCATGCAGCATGTCTCCAATGCCTTCTCTCCTGCCTCCATCATTTTAGAAGATGGCTCCTGTGATTTGCGGTTGCTTTAGTAAAATGTTCACCTCTCTGACTCTCTAATTGTATGAGAATGACTTGACAGAAGGGAAAGGGTCGTTCCTACTCCTAGAATTGAACTTCAAGTTGTAGATGGATGGGTTAAGGATGTGAAACTCAGGACTTCCCATCTCTTCACTGTAGATCATTTTGAATTCAATGCATAAGTACCAGCCACGGGTGCACATCATAAAGAAGAAAGACCACACGGCCTCCCTGCTCAATCTGAAGTCTGAAGAATTCAGAACCTTCATCTTTCCAGAGACAGTTTTCACAGCAGTCACTGCCTACCAGAACCAGCTGGTGAGTGGGCCTTTTGCAGTTCAGCCTCTGCACAAGGGGTTTTGGTACTTAAAACGAAAGTTTCTTTGGAGAGAGCTTCAACATCATAGCATCATGTACCGAGGGACCATGTATTGCATCAGCTTGTCTTCTAGGACCTGTGTTCTGTAATACAGGCTGTCTGGTAGCTGAGCCCTAACCTGAATCCACCCCAGTGTACCTTCTGCAGGGAGCTCCCTGGTACTGTTTCCTCCTCCAGCAGAAGCATGCTCTCTCTCTCTCTCTCTCTCTCTCTCTCTCTCTCTCTCTCTCTTTCTCTCTCTTTCTCTCCTCTCTCTCTCTCTCTTAAAACAAATGCTAACCTAGTAGACAGCTGCCAAAATTACTGACATTTGAGGAATTTTGTGAAACTAGCTTAGCCACAACTGAGGATTAGGAAAATGATTGTGAACGGCTCTTTAAATAGTAAGCTTCAGTGGGATACTTCATTGACTTCAAGATTCCAGCTCACAACATCAGGTCCCATCTTCTGCTCTCTGTCAGACCCTATATTTCCAACTGGACTATTATTTTCATGCATAAGATTTAGTCCTAGTAAATATTTATAATTGTCCCACTAAGGCTAAGTGCTGTTAGGCACTTGCTCAAACATTTTATTTATTTATTTTTTTTTTTGTGGTCAGCAGAATGCTGACAGGTTTGTAGCAATACAGAGGCTGAATGGCATGGTGAGGGCGCTGAGGGGAAGGAAGAGTGAGAACCTTTTCTGCAGGGAAAAAAAACCAACCAACCAACCAAACAAACAAACAAAAAACAAAGCAGGAAGTAGGATTCCCCAGTGCACTTAGTAAAAGGTATTCACACCTTTAGTTTAATCGACAATGAGGCTGTTCAGAGCTCTTCATCTCGCTTTTGTTTGGTCAGCTGTAAGTCGCCAGGTGCTTGCCTTCCTCTTGGCATGCTGTGGTGTAGGTTTCGAATGGATAACAATCATACTGCCTGCTGGCTGAGAATCCAGCATGGGTGGGTAGTCAGAGGAGATCCAGAGACTCGGGAAAGTCAGGAGGAAGCTGAAAGCAGAGGAAGTCCTGTGCAAATAAGAAAGTGGGAAGAGGGCTGGAGAGATGGCTCGGCAGTTAAGAGTACTGTCTGCCCTTCCAGAGGGCCTGAGTTCCACTCCCAACAGCCAAGGTGCATAACCATCAATAGTGGAATCGGAGGCTCTCTTCTGGTGTAAAGGCATGGACACAGAGAGAGCACTCACATACATAAAAGAAATAATAATCTTTAAAAAAAAAAGGAGTAGGAACAGACAGAAGAAGTATTTAAGAATGGCCAGAGTGGGTGGAGAAGGCTCGTGTGCCTTTCACAGCTATTGTTGCCATTTCCCTGGCTTGTAAGCTGGGGCTAAGAACTAACTAGACCGTATTTGGAGACTGCAGTGCACCACAGATGGGATGATGTGTACCAACATGCCCTGGAAACTGCAGTGCTGAACTGTTCAGGACTGCCAAGAGTGCTTATCCATACCTGGACTTTAAAATGTCAGTGATTGTGTATGGAGATGGCTCAACAGGTAGAGGCACTTGTGACCTGCTCACCTGAGGCAGATCCCTAGAAAACACACACACACGCGCACACACACACACTCATGCACGCATACACACACACTTAAGTAAATAAATGAAATTAAAAATTTGTTGGTATATTTGCTAAGATAAATCAATGCATAGTTGTTATGTAAATTACCTTATTAGATAAACAAAGTGTCATCTCTTTGTTCTCCAAAATGATAGCATAGAAGGAGAGACTTTCACAGAATATCCAAGTAAAACTTTGTGACTAGATCAAAGTCCACAACATCCTAACGCCCTGGAGATCTCGATCTTTGAAGTCACAACTGCACTTGTGGAAAGCACGCGGAAAGTGGGTCTCACAGGCTCCCAGAAATATTAAGCTCATTTCCACTAAGTGAATGTGTACCTTTATGATACAATACTAGATGTGTAACACTTTTAAGAACCTTGTTGATGTTTTGGGATGAAATAAAAACTTGTCCTATGGAAACTTCAATGCTGCTCTCAGAAGTCCCTTTTAAGAGGGACAAAGTTAGAAAAAGTAAATTACAATTTTTTTTTTCTAAAACAGAAATGTCAAAAATTAGAAGTTTCCACATGCAATAACTTAGATTTGTTTTGATAGGCGAAGAAGACATCCTAAAAAACCACCAGCAGGCCTTCTGCCACAGCGCATAGATTACATAAAGGTGGCTAGACTTTGGGTGCTTGCTATTGTACAAAGTGACACTTAAAGGATTGATTTTATCTAATCTTTGCAGGAATATTATTAAATCATTCTCTGATTTAATAGTAGTTTATTATGCAATGCGCAGCGGGGGAAATTGAGGTGACTTGCTGTGCCCATCATGGATCTGAAGCAGGGCAGTTATAATTATAGTTACTATAGTCCCTGATCTCTGAACTGGGTGTCAGAGGGGCAGAACGCTTTTTCTCCCAGCTTCTGACCCTGGTGGACCCTCAGACATCTTTCCCAGAAGTTTTTAAGTTATTGTTCCTCCCTCACCACACACACACACACACACACACACACACACACACACACACCAAGGTTTCACTGTTTATTGGCTGGGTGGGGCTGTGCTCACACAGGATATTGGTGAGCATCATGTGAGGGTTACTATCCTCAACAAGAGGGCCAAGTGTCAGCTAGGCCCACTTTAGCAAAGTTATACCTTGCCCATCCATTTGATAGTCTCATGGAATTCTTTTTTCACTAACTTCAGTGTCAAAAGGAAAGTCTTATAAACGAATGGTCAAATGAACTGCATGCACTCCATCCAGGTTTCATAATTAACTGTTACCAAGTTTGCTTCATTCGGTCCACTCCTTTTTCCCCCTGTCTGGACTGTTCTGCCAATCCAAACTAAGATGCTAGTCTCATTGACTGAGGCTGACTCCCTCCAGCAAGCATGGTCCCACAGTGAGGATATTATTGTTGTGACCATATTGTCTTTAAGACAGCCCAGAAGATCTATTAGAAATATTCCTTCATACTCTGTCAGTTCATCTAAATTTTAGTGTTGACCCACAGTGGGTCAACATAGTGGGATTTTGTTTCTTCCCCTCTTATCCTAAGCTCCAGCTAAGATTCATTGTCTAGGCTGGTTATTTTAATTCAGAAAAATCCTTCTACATTTTTCTCAATAATCTTATTTAATTCTGACATTAGTCCCTGATGGGAGTCCGGTGAGTATCATTCTGTAGATTATGAAAGTGAAGTTCCACGTGGTTAGGACACTCACTCATGGCTACATATTTGATAAGTGCCAGGCCTGTCGAGAAGGTTTGACCTTCTGGGTCCTAACTCCTCCGTTTGGGTTGGATTGCAAGGCAATAAAGTAATCACTTCCAAGGTCAATAGCTTGAAAACTGAATTTGAGAATGTTACTATATTAAAATAAGCTAAAATGCTAACTAATACAGATTCTAACATTCATTACTCCTCTCGCTAATGTTTATTTTTCTAATTGAAAGTACAAGTGGATTCAAAATTCAGTCCCCAAAATCCGTCAATCTTTGATTGCATCATAAAGTCTAAAGATTAATAGGATTAGTAGGCCATTTCACCATGGAATAGCCCACAACAGAAGCATCTTCCTCCTTAGACCCCTGGGTTTGTTTCTGTAATCCACTTTCAATGCCATCCTTAGCATAAAACCATCCATAGATGTGGCTTAATATAGCAGGGCTGTTTGAAAACTAGCTAATAGATTTCCTTCAGCAAATAAAGCTGACCCAGATCTCTGTAGAAGTTCAGGAATTGCTGTTTTCAGGGGGTCGTGTGCTGTCTTCTCCCTACCTCACCTCCAGGGCTCCTGGAGTCAGCTGCTTTTTCATTGCCACACTGTGTGTACTAATTTACCTACAGTGAACACACAAAAATAAATACGATACAAAGGAAATACATACTCTGTATAGCGTCAACAAAAAGTTTTCCGTGCATGAAGAACTAAGATGGGAAGGGGGAGGGATTAAAGGTTTCCACTTGGACCCATTTCCCTCTGTCTTAAACTTTGATATGACTATTATTTTTATGTCTGATAAATTCAAGTCAAAGTTTCTGAAAGTGTGTGTGTGTGTGAAACCTTTTTACTTATTGACGCCAGTAGTTTTATTTAAAATTAATGAAAATGGGACCTTTTCACCCATTTCTTCTTCTGCTTTTTGCAAGGGGATGATTGCATTTCTTTACATTATTAGATAAACGCTAAATACATTATACTTTCAACAAACTATTTTATAATTTAAGATTTAAAGGTCATGCATTGTTTTTGAGCTGGCAGATCATTGCTGTGGAGTTGAAGTGTAGGTCAGGTTTCATTTCTAAATGCCTTTGGTCAGACCTCCTCCTGATAATTGGAGAAATGGTCTCCAAGGGCCAATTTTCCCTTATGGCTGGGACCCCAGCTGGATTCCGAGTCCGGTGTTGTGACAGCGGACAAGAATAACAGCCGCTGTAAAGTTGTCTTTCCACGCACTGCTGGCGGCAACACAAATCTGCCCTCTAATTGTGAATACACTTATTTACAGATAATAGCAATGGTAAAATTAATGAATTTTCTGGTTTCCCACTACTTTCTGTCATTGCAATTGTATATTGCATTGCATTGTATATCAAAAACACGTGTCTTTGCATGTACATGAACATATGAATGGCAGGATTTCTGTAGTATGTAGTGCTATTCTAATTTATCAATACGTTCTCTTCACCAAGTGAAGAATCTTGCTGCTTTTAAAAGTTGATTCAGGGGAGTAGAGAGACGGCTCCTTGTTCCAGAGCAGAGGACTGGGCTTTGGTTCCCAGAATTCACATCTGGAAATTTTCAACCAGAGGATCGGATGCCTTCTTTCTGCCTCCTGCAGGCTCTTGGACACATGTAGTAAACATCAGCCCACATAGGCACATACATACACATACAATAGAAATAAATCTTAAGATAATTGTTTTTGAGTGATAAAAGGATCTGTGTCTCTGGTTTAACCGGGCAGCAGTTTCGCAGGCTGCAAACTTCCTGTGCCGAGTTTGTTGGAGCAGGTCCAGGGGCTTAGCCACCTCGTCTCATCCATTCTCACACAGTCGTTCCATTATCCTCAGTTCTACAAAGGGATGTCTGCTGTGAGATTTCCCTCTGTGTGCTGTGATTACCACTAATGAATAAAGAAACTGCTTTGGACCTATAGCAGGGCAGAACTTAGCTAGGCAGAGAAAACTAAGCTGAATGCTGGGAGGAAAAAGGGTGGAGTCAGAGAGAAGCCATGGAGCCCTGCCAGGAATGGACACCAGAACTTTAGAGGGTCAGCCACAGCTACATGGTCATACACAGATTAATTAGAAATGGGTTAAATTAATATGTAAGAGTTAGCTCATGAGAAGCTAGAGCTAATGGGCCAAGCAGTGATTTAATTAATACAGTTTCTGTGTGATTATTTCGGGGTCTGGATGGCCAAGAAACGAACAAGCAGCCAAGTGGCCTCCTTCAGCAGATGTCAGACTCCCTTACATAAGCAAGTTTCCATGTTTTTAATTTAAATATTAATGTCTGACTTTTCTATGATTTGTTGTTACTTAGAAAATAAAAATTTTATTATTTAAAATAATTTTGCAGTAGGGTATGATGGTATTAACTTTTAGACATAGACTCAACACTCAGGAGGCAGAGACAGACTGATCTCTGTGAGGCTGAGGTCAACTTGGTCTACATAGTGAGTTCCAGCAGGATAGCAAGGAGTATGTAGAGAGATTCTCTCTCAAAGAATCAACACACACACACAAACACACACACTTGTTTACATGTATGTATGTGTATGTGTGTGTGTGTGTGTGTGTGTGTGTGTGTGTTGTTTAATCTTGAAATAAGAAAGTGAAATAAAAGTCAGGCGGTGGTGGAGCACACCTTTAATCCAGCTCTTGGGAGGCTGAGGAAGGCAGATTTCTGTGAGTTCGAGGCCAGTCTGGTCTACAAAAGCGAGTTCTATGACACACTCCAAAGCTACAGAGAGAGTCTGTCTTGAAAAACCATAAAAAAAAGAAAAAGAAAATAAATGGAATGCTTTTAAGCATTCTAGGTTAACACACAGTTTAACCTAGTCTGCAAAATCATTAAGTCACAATTTAGCGATTTGTCCTTAGCATAAAGCTCAACAGACCTGCCTAGGTCTAGAATTACTACTGTGGTTGTCTGTTGGGTCTGGAGGTGAGCTGAACCACATGAGGTATAAAGGGAACTACAATCTCTGCGCTGCTATATTCACTGGAGAGAATATAACCCCAGATTCACCCAGCTTTTTTTTTTTTCCCCTAATGTTCAAAATCAGTGATTTTTTTTTCTGGATTTAGTCAAACTCATCCATAGAGAAAGTAAACATCAGGTAATTGTCTTGGGTTCCTTTCTAATTATTGTTCTAAATTAAATCATCATTGTACTTTATTAGTAGGCCTAGATATACAGAGGACCATGCCCTGTTGCAAGTTTTCTGAAGCCTGAAATTATATCAAGATGTGGAGAATAAAAGCTATCATTGATACCAATGAATGTTATAAAAAGGAAAGTTTAAAAAATTTTGTGGTTGATAATTACAATAATGAATGATAATTGCAAGAAATAAAGAAACTCAGGCTGCATTTAATTCATTTCCAGGCACAAAGTTATGACAATAATGTTAGATCATGGACACATTAATTGGCATCTATTTCTCACTTGTATCAGGGCACTGGAGGATTTTAACCAGAGCCACCTCATTCAAAGCCACTGAACTTTAAACTTTGAAAATATGAAAACCAATTACAAATTTTTCAAAATCATTTCCAGGACAAAGCAACCATCATAATGGAGATACTTCTTTCTGTCGCGTAGTTTATCTGCAACCAAATAAAGCTTGCTGTGGTTCACATCGAGGAGAAAAGGCTCCAAGAACTCCTGCTGTTGCCCTCGATGTGAGACACAGTATCTGCCATTATCTCCAGACAATTTTAGCTACCAGCAAATCCAGCCACTTTTCAGTTTTAGAACATATTACTGAGAGCAAGATGTGCCTTTTTTTTTTGTTTGGGCTCACAGTTAAAGATTTCATTAGGGTTTGAGTTGCCTTTAATGTCACTACCTTGCAGTGGACCCACATCAACCACCCAGGGCTCTTCATGGTGTATCTCTGCACTTGCTCCAGAGAGTTTCAGGTCTCCACCCGCCATTACCCTGGACCAAAGCAACCGATCATTACATAGGTACTGGCTAATGATTGCCCAAACATTTCAGGAGCCTTACGGCAGTTTAATATTATAGAGTATTTTACATTACAATTGCTGAGCAGAAAGAAGAACATCTTTCTCCTTAAAGACTGAAATCTTGCTAGGACTTAGAATCTTAGGACATTTTGGTTGTATGGACTTAAAATATTTTTTATGATATATATTGAATAAACAATATTATTCTTCTTGAAAGATGACATTCAGAAACAAGTTCAAGTCAGAAACAAATGACTGAACCGACTGGTCTTCAGGAGAGGCAGCCATGCATGAGAAGAGATTCTCATCCTGAAGTGTTGGCTGTGCACACTGTAGAGGCCGCCTGAGGCCTTGGAGAACTCGGCTCTGTGCACACTTTATTATTGCTTTTCATTGTGAACAGATCGTACTGTCTATCACGGTCCCATCCCTGTTTAGCAATATCCATAATTTTACTGAAAAGGAACCTCGTTATCCTTTCGCTGCGGGATGTTCTGAGTGAGCAGGTACCCCCAAGGCTCTAAGTCACAGGCTCTTCCTGGGGCCAGCCAGTGCTGCAGATAGAGAAGAGCGTCCACCTGTGTGATGGAGGGCACCCTAAGGGAGGTGAAAGCTTCTTGGCAGCCTTGCAAACACAATTCACATCGAGGATATTTTCAAAAGGAAACCACGTCTGTCCTTATAATGTAAAGAGAAACTCGAAGCATTGAACTTTGGATATAGTGTGGTCAGTTTTTTTTTCCAAAGTAGTATTTGTTATAAAACCCTGTTTTATAAATAAATAATATACTCATGTTTATAAATTTTATAGTTATCATGTAAAATTCTGTTTTAATGGTTTTCTCTTTAGTGTGAAGCAGGAGGACACCCCACACCCATGGCTCCTTTTCCCTGCTCAGAGTATTTTGTGTGTCTCCTTTCAAAGATGAACCTGTATTCCAAATTTGATGTTACAAGCTAAGGCCCTCTTGAAAGGGTTCCCTGTTAGGAATTCAGCTAGGAACAGGCTGTACTTGGGTCCTGGAGCTCCTTGTGCCTCACTGTGACTGTTTGCCAGATGAGGGCATAGGTCTGCTCATCGGTGAGGTTCCTTTTAGTGCTAACAGAAATCTATTCCAGTCTGTTCTCATCAGTCCTTCCTCGGTTTTTGCTTCACAGCCTGAAGTATTTTTCCTCAGAGGTGTGGCACACGGGGTCTAATCGGCCTCTCTGTGTTAATAGTAACACTACAAGATTTATAAATTCTGAGATATAGACACTTAATGTTGGAGACTGATTCTCACTAGAGAGTAATTGTTTCTAGATAAGCATAGTTATGTAAGTGACATTAAACAGAAGGCTGACAGAGTAACTGTTTCGATTCTAAATTAGGCAAACGGAAAGGATAATGGTAGTAAATGTATACTTTGAAGGCTTCATATCCTGCATTCATATACAACACGTCAATATCAGCACAGTGTCGAACTTTTTTTATCTTCTTGTCTATTACAGTATATAGCCACCTGCTCAAAAAGTTGTCTCATGCTTCCGTGTCAGAATGAGACAGCGTCTTTGTTTCCATTCTTCACTCCCCCACAGCAACACAGTCTGCACAACTCTCCCATCTAGGTAGTTCTCCTGCCCCAGTTGGTCCTAGCCTTTCCCAAGCATTTTAAATCCTTCACAATCTAGTTTCATGTCCAGTCTCGCCTGAAAGGCCACCAAACCTTCGCTCTCTCAGCCATGACCCCAGTACACCGTGAACGTGTCTCTCACCCAAACCCAACGTCTCCTGATGTTTACAGGATCACTGGGGTCTATGGGAAATGAAAAAAAAAACTACTTCTGATTTTGTTTTGTTGACCTCTGAAAGGAGATCGTTTTGTACCCATTTTTTCCTTCCTAGATAACCAAGCTGAAAATAGACAGCAATCCGTTTGCCAAAGGATTCCGGGACTCCTCCAGGCTCACTGACATTGAGAGGTAATGAGAATTTTCTGTTTGTTCTTTTGTCCAGACAAGATAAAAGAGTGGGTTGTAAGAACAGGTGCCCCTTCTTGCCCACGAAGCATCGTTTTATAGCATGTAGTTTCCACTGTCTCCGCACCTTTCCTTCCCCAACCACAAACCCTGTCATTGTACCGCTCCTCCATCTCCAGAGCGCCTGCTGCAGGATCTCTCAAGTGATTCCTCAGAAAAGAGGTTTATTTGATATGGACCGTGTCTTCCACTGTGAAACATTGCGTTTGCTGTGGCCAGAAAGTGGGTCCTAGTTGCAATCGAACACTGTCTTACTGAGCGCCACTCTGAGGGACTTTAGAGCCATTTTCCTTCAGACGGGGATGTGCTTGGCAACACAAAGTACTGAGGGCTGATTTGCAATTTTGAACCAAGGGAATGCCATTTAATTTGAGGCCACATAATTTTACCTGTAAAGTGGGTTGCTATTTTTAATCGGAGAAATAAATATCAAGTCTGAAGACCTGGAAGCAGACAAGAAGCAGCCGTGCATGTGAAACTTACCCCTCCACAGTGACAGGTGTTTCTTTCATTTGACACCACGGAGTGATCGGGATCCATAGCGACCAGCACATTATGAATGCTGGGATGTAGTTTTTCGAGAAGATTTTGACCCAATTGGTTATCTACACTCTTCACACACAGTAAATCTCGATCCTTCATCTTGATACTAGGTCTGCTATGTTTGCTAATGGGCGGAACACTGCCTCGCTCCCAGCTCCCTTACTTATGGTATCTTAATATTTTTGTGGGACTCCCCTGTCAGTGGCCACACATTTCTGCTTTCCCTTTTATTGTTTACCACACGGGCACATCTGACCTTGACACTTCTGTGCAATCTGCCTTGGCAGCTCAAATGAAAGGTTAACTGTGCTTTTTCAACGTGTGTCTGATTGTTCTTAAACCTGCCAAAGTGGCCGAGCACCAAGTGGTGGCATACTCGGAGGGAATGGATGTAGAGGCTGTGTAGGGAGCCGGAGAGGTTGAGTTCAAAAATAAAGACTAATTGCTGGAGAGTCTGACTGCTGGTCGGAGTAGTGAAGTCAGCAACAAACCTAAGGCTGTTGAAGGGACATCTATTGCCCAAGTCTCAAAAAGCAGGCTGGTTGGAGAATTGTGGGTGGTGACATTTATAAAAGTGCACATGAACCCAAAGGGCAGAACTGTTTCTGAGTCTCTCACGTTAGAGTAGCCTCGCATCCAACCCTTTAGACCCTGTCTGAGTAACTCTGAACGCTCTCTGGGAGCTGATCTTAGAGTAAAAATAGTCCTGGAGTTGCCCCATGCTCAGGAGATAGGAGCCCAGCCTGGCTGCCCTTTAGAACAGCAGATTTGATAATGCATGTGGCCACATTTTCCACTTATTGAATAAGCGTTCTGATGTGGGAGCACCCGCTTGCCTGTGAAGCTAAGTGGCTCGCGATGGTCCTAAGGCCAAGACAGCGCTCTGATGTGACTAGCTGAAAGTTTGCAAGATGACCTAAGTGGTGTGAAACTGGCCAAGGCTTTGGATTTCATTTCCAGGTATTTAAGCCTGAATTTTTCCTAAATAGCCTTTGGGGATGGGACAAATCAGATCAATTGATCTTTAGAGACCTAAAGAAATTAAATTAGTCTGGAGTCAGTTACTGCACTAAACCATGTAGTAATTGAATTGTTCCTTGTAACTGATTGAAAACAGCCCTATCTGTATCAATCCTGGGAGCTTTTCTTCATGAGAGATCTGAGGGGAAAACACATTTTTTTATGACATGATGACAGATACTGCATTTTTCTAACCTAACTGGATATGATGTAATAAATATGTGACTTTAATGATTTCAAGTTTCCTGTTCTAGATTTATAACTTACTGTGTAGGACAGCCGCCCCCAAATACTGTCAGCATGGGACATGTGTTCTTGGACTTTAATGAGGCCTTTTTGCAACTATCAGCACTGGGTGCTTCTTGAGGCCTCATGGTTGCTCCGGGTCTGGGTTTAGCGGGGTCTGTGTTGCTGGATGTGTCCTTTCTGCCCTTCATGTGCAGCCTCATTGTGCGGGGTCAGCGTCCTGAGTTGTAAAGCAAGTTCATGTCCTTATCAGGAGTGGAAGCACACTACAAAGCCCAAAGGGATGACTTCACAGAAATGAATTTTTAACCCTTTAGACCAGGGAAAGGATTGTTGCTAGTTCTACGTAGTAAGGAGCCTAGGGCAGCCTCTGGCTTGCTCTGATCTCCATCCCTCCCCACTTTTAGGGGGGCTTCATATAGACACAAAAGCTCAGTGCTACTTCTGAGGAAGGGACGATAACTTAGGATATTTTCTTCAAAATTCAGTGCTTTTTTGGTCCTGCTCCTTTGACAAAGAGTTACTGTTCAGCTACAGAACAAAAAACCAAAAAATGTTGACCAGGAAGAAAAAAACATAAAAACAACAGCAGGCTTTAGTGTCTGTGCATTCCCCAGGTTCTTTTTCTGAGGACACCAGTCACCAGATGCTATGTTTAACCACTTTCTTTCTAGATATATTTACCTTATAATTTTTTAATTATTATCTTGTTTTTTTCATTTTCCACCACAATTTTAGTTACTTTGGGTTCTTATTTTCTCCCATTTTGAACAATGACAAAAAGAAAAGTGTATTTCTTTAAATGTATTATTAATTATGTATATAGGATAAGTATCCAATGATAAAAAATACTGGGTAAAAACATGTGGTTTTATTTATTTTTCTACTATACTGCATTTTTTAATGTCAGTTTTACTGGAGAAAGAACCTAAGATTTCAATAGTAGGAAATGATTTATTAAACTTTATTGTCACATGATTTAAAAGACAGTGTTCAAATACATAAAATTAAAAATACTATTTTAATCATTTTAAAGATATTCTGTGACATTAAGTAGATTCATAATGTCATGCAGCCATCACCTCTCTCCTTTTCCAGAATGTTCTCAGTATCACAAAGAGATGGTATGCTCAGGCTCCCTCCTCCTC